GTAATAAAACTTTGTAATGTGCCTTTAATATAACCTTGAAAACTTTCTGGGGGCATAATATCATTAATAGATCTTCTGCAGACATAAAACTTCTTATGGGATTTTGTAATAGGCCTGAAATATTTAAAAATTGATTATAAATAATTTTTTGTTGTTAATTTTATTATTATAAATATTTTTTGTTGTTAGTAGGCGTATTTGAAATAATATAATTTAATGGCTTTGTATTTGCTGTTAATTATGCAGAAGAAAAATTATTAAAAAAAACTTTCAAAATCAATAGCTTTGGCCTGTTATTTATAAAAAAAACATAAAAGCTTTTTTTCAGAATTTTCATTTTGTTTTTTCATACAACTATAACAAGCTTTTAATAATAATATTTATTGTTATTGTAATGCAAATACTACATTTTTGTAAGGAGTTGTTGTTGTTTTCGCAATGGCCATATCGATGGCTAATAAAAATAATAGTTAATTTTATTATTGTACTAAAAACACAAAAGAATGGATTACTACTGATTATTTTTTTTATTGATACACATTAAAAAATAATTTGTTTTTTTTTCAGTTATTTTCAAAACCAGCCACAAAGCGTGTACAAAAAGGGGTATTTCAATTTGTTTTTTTTTTTTCTTTTTCTTCAATTATTCACTAAAGGGTTTTTGGTTTTTCTTGTGGTTTTTCTTTAATATCATATCAATTGTTAATATTATAAAAATTTTCAATTTAATTTAATTATTTTTTTTTTTTTTGTTTTCTTGGGAGAGTACAAAAAATATTCTGGGGTAAATTTTTTTCCATCGTTTTTGTCATCAGTTTTTATTACCAATAAAAAAATTGTCACCATATGAATATGTGCAACTTTCTATGCTTTTTACTATAAAAAGGGATTTTCAATTATTTTGGTAAAAAAACACGTCTCTTGAAATTGTTATTTGGTTTTGAGTTGGCTTTAATAAACTTCCCAACAAATTGGGATTGCGTGCTGACTCCATATATAGCGAAATAGAGTTCTTTTTTTGTTGGAGATTGACATGATTAACTCTAACAAAATGTTGAAAAAAAACCAATGAAACTGCTAATGGTGTCTTTTGTTAAGGTTGTCATTGAAATACTCAGCGAAACAAAAAAATAAATAAAGTTTTGTAAGTTTATAATATTTTTTTTTAATAAATCTTCATTCCCTGCAAAAAAATATTCTTTTGACAAAGATACCTAAATCGACATAATGATAGAATATAAACACGTATATCTTACGGCAGTATATTGAAGAAAACTACCAAGAACCCGTTTGTCATAAACGGACAATTGTTTGAATTTCTTATTTCAGTGATTTTGGCTACCAGATCTAATAATTAAATATCACAAAATTCAAATTAAATTTTTGGGAATGGTAACAAATTGGAATGGGAACATAATTTTTAGATCTTGACGGCCAAAAACAATTCGAAGAAATATTCCGCTTATGGCTCAGAAATCAATCACAAGATGGCTCAAAAATGGACCCTATATCAGTAAACACAAGATGGGCTTGGTCAAAAATATCAAATTATATCTTATTCTGTTTTAAAACCGCACCCATAATACCCCAAATAACGAATAATGCTGGCTTCCTTATATTGAGGCTATACTAAAAAGTCTATCAATATTTATAATTTTCGGAAGGAATATTTGCTAGCAAATGAGAATTTTAGAATTATAGCCAACATGGCGAAAAAGGTGCCCAAACTCTATAAAATTACTTCTATAAGTAGAAGACCTTCGTAGGACTAAATAGAAGACCTTCGTAGAACTAAATAGAAGACCTTCGTGGGACTTCTTAAATAGAAGATCTTCATATGTTTAATTTAGTATATAAAGAAGACCTCTATAGGGTTTCTATTAATAGAAGACCTTCTCAATCCAGCTGTAGATATAAGACCTTAATGGGTAATCTCTTTAAGATCTGCTATCAATCGATGATTTATGAATGATTTCTATCCGCCAATTTGGAGAAAAAAATTGCCCAAACTCCATAAAATAACGTAAAATAATGTTTTTTTTTTTTTGAAAATAAAACCTATAACAGGTTTTCAGATTTTAATGGGTCTTCTATAAATGGAAAACTTTCATAAAATTATAGAAAGAAGATTTTCACAGCTCTTATAGAGCTATAAAGCATTCATAGATCTTCCTTAGTTAGAATATCTTCATAGGTCTCTCATAGATGGATGTCACGGATAGAAGACCTTCACTAGTCTTTTATAAATATAAACTATTCAAAGGTCTTTTATAAACAGAATGAATAGAAGACCTTCGTAGGACTTCTATAAATAGAAGACCTTCATAGGCCTCCTATAAGTGGAAGACCTCCATAGGATTCCTATAAATATAAAAAGAATGTGTTCTTCATAAATAAGACCTGTATTGCGGTTCTATTAATCTCTTAAAGATCTGCTATCAATTGATGGCCTATAGAGGATTTCTATCCGCCAATTTGGAAAGAACACGTAGCCAAAGTTTATAGAATAACGAATAATGATTTATTTTGAAACTAAAATATACGAGGTCTTCTGTCGGTAGCATAATGAAAAACTTTTATACAATTATAGAAAGAAGATATCATAGGTCTCTCATAGATAGATGATAGATGAAGATAGAAGATCTTCACACGACTTTCATAAATATTAACTATACAAAGGTATTCGATAAGTAGAATATCTTCGTAGGACTTCTATGAATAGAAGACCTTCATAGGCCTCCTATAAGTGGAAGACCTTCTTAGGACTCTTATAAATATAAACAAGTTATTCTATATATAGAAGACCTGTATAGGGATTATATTAATAGAGGACCTTTATAAGCCAGCTGAGAATAGATTATCTTTACGGGTAATCTACTAATATAAGACCTATTTAGGATCTGCTATTATTTGATGACCTATGGAGGATTTCTAAATGCCATGATCCTTTCAAGAAGCTATTTTTAAATATTTTTTTTAATAAAACCTATAACAGGTCTTCTTTCGGGAGTTGATTTTATTAGGTCTTCTTTAAATAAAAGACCTTCATAGGAATCTTCTATATTAATAAGAAATTCTTCTACATCCATCAATAATTTTGAACTACATGAAAGTAGTCACGAGTGTACTGGACCGATCAATATCCATTTTTCCCTACTAAGTTGGGATAATTATTCCTTTCCAGAAGTCTATTACAGATGTATTTACTGACTTGTCGATGAGTGAAATTTTAAAATGCTAAATTATAGCCAAATTAGGGGAAAAACTTATCCGAACTTCTCAAAATACCGATTAATGGGGACTCCGCTATAATTTTGAAGTACACGAACTGAACCGAACAATATCCAATTTTTCCGAATAGAAAAATTATTTCGTCCATTTCACAGGATGTGACAATTCTTACTCTCATTAGAAGTTATGTTTCCGTATTGTTTGTGTAATAAACGCTCAGATATCGACAATATATTGAAAGAGACACCACTAAAGTCATGTAGTTTCAAAAGAAACTAGTTCATTGAAACTATTCCGATAAAGGAACGATAGGAACTAGGTCAAGTTCTTTTGTTCCTATAGTTTATTTTTCTGATACTATTAAATAGAAATTAACTGAAATCATTTTTGATCAATTGGTTTACTTTTATCATCCCTCAACGAATCAACACGGAACTATGTGAGCGAACAACGAAGAACTAGAGACATTAAAAGGACTGTTTAGGAGTCTGAACTATATGGATCAAAGGAACTATATTACGGAATTAGTCCACTTTCATAAAATAAACAAGAAATATTGATCCGCTCCGTGAACTGGATTTGTATGTAGTTTCGAAAGAAACTTGTTCATTGGAACTATTCTGGTAAAGAAGAGATAGGAACTAGGTCTAGTGCTTTAGTTCCTATAGTTTCTTTTTCTGATTCTACTAAATAGAAATTAACTGAAATCATTTTTGATCAATTTGTTTACTTTTATCAACCTCAAGGAATAAACATGGAAGTATGTGAGCGAAAAACGAATATGGAGCAAATGAACTATATTAAGGAACTAGTTCCCTTTTAAAAAGGAACTTGAACTAAATTGTCCAACTCTAGACACCACTTCCAAAAAAGGTGTTTTTATTACAGCTTATAACTTCCTTATATACTTCAACACCATTTACATTGCCAATAATCTCTACATCATTGCTAATGATACAAATTTTTCAAACATAATTTAACTATTTTTTCTGAGTCTCGATTTCAACTGATAAGAAACAACATTAGCAGTTTCAGTTTTAAGCTGTTTTTTTGCCCTGTGTACTCTCTTTTGTATTTGTGCTTTAATTTTCTCTTTTAGTTAAATTTTTTTCTAATAAAAAGCTACAAAAATCTCTGGGGTGTTTTTGTTTGGGTTTCTTCGAAAAAAAACAGGGTGCTACGCATATTTGTCACCCCTTTTAATTTTAGTCTTTATTTTTCTTTCGTTTATTTGTCTTACCAATAACAAAATCAATATCATTCGTTTTTTTTACAAATTGTCTACAATTGTTCTGTTTTTTTTTCTAATTCGATTTTGAAACTAAATTTTTTAGTTTTTGTTCTTATACTGGTGTGACGACTGCCTATCAAAAAAAAAAAAAAATCATTCTTCAGGAGTTTGCGATTTTTATTATTATTGTTGTTGTTCGGGAATTTCTACTTCCTTCAAATGGAGGATCCATTGTGTCATTTGCGAGTATTTTTTGTTTTTGTGTATTTATAAATGTTTTCTTGTTGCTGTTGTTGTTGCATTATCTTTGCTACAAAATTGTGCTTCTTCATCATAATCATTATTGTTATTGTAATTATTTTTTTAGGTTCATTACTAAATCTCTTTTATTTTCTCATTGTTTTATTATTATTATTATTGTAATTAAATTAATCAATTATTTTTAATTAATAGCTGTTCTATTATTGTTTTCTTTTTTAATAATGTATGTATGCATGTATGTGTGTGTGTTGGGTTATTTGTGCTTTCATTGTGATTTTTATTGGAAAATGCTATTGACCATTGCCAGCATTATTGCCACGGCCAGTAATGTCAGCTGTTGTTGCATCTTGATGTCATAGATAGCAGCGGAAGCGGATGTTGAGCTATTTGTGTCACATTCGGAACCTGCAAGAAAAAAGAATTGTACAGTTTGTTATTTTCTTTGGGGGTAATGATGATGGTGGAGTTTGATTTGATTTTTACATGATTTTTTCAAGAACTAAAATTAACTTAAATATATAAATTAAATATACACATCATAGATCATTGAACAAAAAACAAAGCAGAAGCATTTCTAAAAATCTAAATAGTTATATATTAACTAGTTCAAGTAGACACGTGTAAATGATTCTATCCTTCTTATGCCCTCAGCCTTATGACTAATGCGGGTATATGTGAAAAATGTGTCTCATCGAAATATTGGTTTTAAATCCCATGTTTATTTGGACCAAATCCATTTCAGATAATTTGGAATCGATTTACAAATGTACCTATGTCTAGCCGGCTGGTGCGCACGATGACTCTCGAAGGGAATACTTGATTTCATAAAAACTTTGCACATCTTAATATTTCTTCCAAGCTCAGTTAAGGTTCGAAGATGGGGAATATCGGACCACACCTTCTGGCAACTCCCTCACAAAATGGTAAAAATTATGCTAAAAATTAATTTTATAAATCCCATTTCCCATTTTAACGAACTTTGTTCAACCTATTATCATTACCCAGCCTAGATCAAGTAGGAAGATGGAACCTTTTGGCCCACTCCTTCTGCTACCTCCCCCACAGGGGGTCAACATTTTAAATATTTATAAATCCAATATCAGGCAAATGGTATGTCCAATTTTAACCAAGCTTTGCACAACCTGTTATCTTTACCAAATCTAGATCAAGTCCGAAGGTGGGACCTGTCTGCCTTCTCCACTGGTACATTTTACAAAAAGGGCCAATATTATATATTTGATCAACATAAAATCCGAATAATGAACTCTGTGTATAACTCCGAAGACCTCCTCCGCTCTTTCGAAATTCAACTTGATTGCCTAAGGAAATCGAAGACCTCCTCCGCTCTTTCGATTTCAAAATTTACCTTTTTGCTATCGGAATTGTTAAATTTATTTTACCATACACAAAATACAGTGAGTTCTAAGCTGCTTATAACCATTTAAATCTTCCAAAATTTACAATTCATTCAAAAGTTATTGCATTTTTATTAATGTCTTGATTTTCCGTAGCGACCTCAACGCCATCTATTAATGCAGTACATTGGCGAAAGCAAAAAGAAGATTGTTCTAGTATTTATCCCATAATAGTTGAACTACTGGTGGTATTGTAATAAAATTGATGTCACATTGAAGGTAGGAAGTCTGGCTATTTCGAAATTAATTTTCATAAATATGAACCTTTTTATGTGGAACCTTATTTTTGTAAATTGTCCTCTTAAACTAAACTTTAAATTTAATTTTGCCATTTTTATAATAAAGAAAATATCTCCAATGTAACATGACACCTTATTTGTGTTAATAGAACAGTTGGTAAAAAAGTTACATCCAGTGGAAGACGCTTCTAAAAAAACCCCCTAAGGAAAGGAGAAAAATTGGACTGAGTCGGCTATATGATACCGTGCAGCACATTTGTCATATACAAGAGATGTTTCTACGATTTTTAATTTTTATTTTTTATTTTTTTAAAATGTAGTTGGTTATATGTATATAATATCTAGTCGATCCGACCATTTTAAGACTTATGACGAAATTAAATATGTGATCTAAATCTACAAGTGAACCAAATTCAATCAATTCACGCGCATGTAAATGAAAGTAAACTAGGGAAAAAATCCCTGCAATCATTAGAACTCTGGTGTAAAATTTATATGAAATCGGACAAAGTTTGGTATGAGAGCTATATGTAAATCTGAATCGATATGAAGCAAATGTTGACACACATCATTTGGTATTGGAATGCTGTTCAAAATGTCGCCTTAATCGAGCTTAACCGAGCTTACCTACCGTTTACAGTAATTCGATGAAAATATATATGACAGCTATATTTTAATCTGAGCCTAGATTACAGAATGTTATGTGTATGGGTTGAATTTATGTAGACAGATTGCATATGTATTTCCAAATTTTGACTTAGCCCTCCCAGAAAGGTTTCGCTCAATTTTCGATATTTTAAAGGACTAAGTCCGATTTTCCTAAGGAAATCGCTGTAACATGGTAATATATTTTCCAAAAAATAAATAAATAAATAAATGTCAATACATGTTTGGATATATCTTCTATATAAATGTCCCGCATAATTTTCTGTATTTTGTATGCTATAGCCGCATTTTCCCTCCAAAGGACCGTTTTTTATAATAGTTTCTTAAGGTATCGTCCACTTCTTCTGGTACCTCCACCAAAAAATAGTCAACATTTTGCTCAAATAAAATTTTTATAATATCACGAGAACGGACTGTACGATTCGAAAAAATATATCTTTACATAATAGGAGTGAATTTAAAAAATTAAATATAAATATTCGTATAACACCAATTCTACCACAATACCAGCAAGTCGTTCAAAAGTTAAGCTTTAATTTTTCATGTTCGCCAATTCAATCATCTGTAACGATCAGTCAATTTCGTGACTGCGACGCCATCTATTGATGCAATAAATTGTAGTAGATAAATGGCGAAAAGGTTACAGCCAGTGGAAAATGAAGAAAATCAGGCCTATATTTAGCTTGAAAAAGTAATTAAAAAATCCAAACCTATATTCACCATCAAAAAAAAAAATACTTTTAAAAAATCCACGCCTATATTCAGATCTGAAAAATACTTTTAAAAATATCCACGCCTGTATTAAGCTTTGAAAAAAAATCCAAGTCTATATTTAGCTTTAAAAACATCAACGCCTATATTAAGCTTTGAAAAAAATGCTTTCAAAAAACCCACGCCTATATTCAGGTTTGAAAAATACTTTAAGGGAACCCCCCCATTCTCGATTTTAATTTTTCAAGATTTTCAATGGGCTGGTAAATCAATACTAATGCTTGTTAAGGTTTGTAACTTTACACATATATAATTGAAGATTTAAAAGAGAAGAAAACTAATTTACAAAAAAATTTTGTTATTGTTTTGTTGTTGTTTTTTGTAATTAAAGAAAAGTCCTTATTTTCGATGGCGGGCATGATAACTCCTCACTGGAACATCGGAATCCAAAAATTCCAACGGTATTAGAAAGAGTACATGTCTGGCTTTCGTATGAACTAGGATCATTGACTTCGCTCTAAAATTAACAAAATGGTCGACCTTTGAAAAAATATTTTTGGAAAATCGCCTTTTTTTTACCAAAACCCAAGTCAAAAAATAAGGAAGATCTTCACCGATTGGCTTTATCCTAGTTCATACAATAGCTACACACTCACAGAAAAACGTGTAAAAATTTGAAGTCGATTGGATTATTAGTTTTTGAGTTATCGTGCCCGCCATTCGCAAAAAAATGTTTAGAGAAAACGCGTTTAAAGTTTGAGAAGCCCTTCAGCCGTCACTTGATGCTGACACAAAAAATCGGCTATATCTTCAAGACTTCTTGAGATTTTCATTTGAAATTTTGTAGGGACATTCTTTAATTAGTGTAGATTCGAATTATATCAACAAAATTTTTGACTCCGAGAATGGGTGGGGACCCCACCCATTCTCGGAGTCAAAAATTAAACAAATCCAGGCCTATATTCAGCTTTGAGAAAATGCTTTTGAAAAGTCCAAAATTGGTACACATTAAATGATCGGAACCGATTTTCACACACATTTTTCTAGACTTAATTCAGTTCGCTATGCCAAATTTCGTGCAAATCGAAAAATATATGTGAACTTTGGTGCACCATTTACATTAAATCGGGCGAAAATATATATGAGAGCTATATCAGTACCCCATTTGGTGCAAATCGATTTTCACGAAACTTAGCATACATAATTCTAGTCTTAATTCAATACGTAATGCCAAAATTCGTGTAAATCAAAAGATAAATAGGGACTTTGGTACACCATTTACCTTTAATCGGACGAAAATATTATTGGAGCTATATCTAAATCTGAACCGATTTTCAAGAAACTTAACACACATAATTCTAGACTTAATTCAGTACGCTATGCCCAATTTCGTCCAAATCGAAAGATATATAGGGACTTTGGTGAACCATTTACAATAAATCGGTCGATCATATATATGGGAGCTATATCTAAATCATAACCGATTTTCAAGAAATTTTACACTCATTATTCTAGACTCTATTCAGGACGCTGTGCCAAATTTCGTGCACATCGGATAAAAAATATAGGGACTTTGGTACACCATTTACATTAAATCGGTCGATCATTTATATATGGGGGCTATACCTAAATCTGAACCGATTTTCAAGAAACTTTACACTCAACATTCTATACTCAATGCAATACCCTGTGCTAAATTTCGTGCAAATCGGAATATATACAGGTGCACCATTTACATTCAACCGGAAATTTGAAATTCGTCCTTGGGCCAATTAAGTGACCTGTGCCAAATTTCATCCAATTCGGATCATAAATGCGACTTTGTTTACAATTTAACATGGACATACAGACAGACGGACGGACGGACATGCATAAATCGACTTAAAAAGTGATTCTATGCATATTCTCTATGCATATCTCGTTTCCTTTTGCCTGTTACAAACATATGCACAAAGACATAATACCCTGTACCACAGTGTGGTGAAGGGTATAAAAATACTCGCCTATATTCAGCCTTTAAAAATATCATTAACCCTTTAAGCCCCGAATTTTTCCGCAATATTGGAACAAATTTCTGTCCACAGATTTAATGCAACTATCCTAAATAGGATATGCACAAAATTTGACATCGCTACATCCTTGCATTCGGGAGATACAGTACAATCGTTCGGAAAAAATTAAGAAGAAAACCAAATGCAAAATCGACAGAAAAATCATTTTAAATTATTCTCTATATAAATTTTTACAAGAATTCGTTCATTTGAATACGAAGCGATTTTAATAATTTGGACTGTAACACAAATTAGTACTGTACACAAATGTACCCTCTTCTCTATATTGAAAATATATAAATAATATATATCTACTAGCTTCA